GCACGTATTTCCAGCTGAAAACAGCTCTGAAACTTGGCTTGTGAAGGGCATATCGGCTTTTCAGTCAGAAGCGGGTCCTTCCAAACTCTAACTCGGCCTAAAACGCCTAGAAGGGACCCTGGCCCTTTCTTTCCTTTTGTGTCGTGCGGGTGCTTGAAGGAAAGGGCCCTGGCCTCCTCCAGGGCAGGACTGTATCAAGATTACAGTTGAACGAAATCTACCCGTTTATAAAAAGATCGCGTTTGGAAGTGACTTTCCCAGCAATACCAGGAACAAGATGCCATGGCAGGTATCTAAGTACCTGTCAGATCCCCAGATATTTCTTCTCTTTGTCTAACAATCAGATCCCCTTTGTTGGATCCAAGCTCCTGCTTGATGAGCACCTCTAAGCCCTGCGGGCAGGGGAAGCCGCTCTCCCCATCTCTGTATTGAGTGGTGGGGTTTCAGACTCTCCTTCCCCCGTCCCCCTTCCCTAAAAATGCACACACACACACACACACACACACACACGTTTGCATGTACACATATGGCGTTAGACTCACGGGGCAAGTCCGCATAGTCCATCAGGAACTCCAGTCGCTCTGCGGCGTCTCTCAGCTGCCTCCTGAGTCTGAACACGGTGACATCGCTGGACTTCTTTAAGAACGCAATGAGTGACACCAGCTCCTCGGTGTTGGCAGGGATCTCGCTGACCTTCTCTGCGATGTGGCTGTACTGATTACAAATGCTACAGAAGGAAAACCGGCCATCATGCTCTACAGTAACTTCCTCACACGGCCCCTTACGCTAAACAGACTTGATTCCTGTGTGAGGCTAGAACGATGGTTTCCAACCTTTCTCTGCCCGCAAATCACTGACGGACGATATTCACGCACACGCCTCGCTCAGGGGCCCCGTCAGCAGCAATGGTAGCAGTAATATCTGACAGGTTCGAGGCCCACTGCCAGGTGCCTGGCCCCACTGTAACCATATATTAGCTCATTTAATCCTCACAACAATTCTAAGAGGTGGGGACAATTATTACCAACATTTTGGAAGAAAGTGAGGCTGAGTAACTTTATCCAAAGCACCATGGTGCCCGGGGTCAAATCCAGGATCTGAACCTGGTTCGGCTGATTCCAAAGCTTGTACTTGTCATATGTATACCCTGAGCAGAATNTCCTCACAACAATTCTAAGAGGTGGGGACAATTATTACCAACATTTTGGAAGAAAGTGAGGCTGAGTAACTTTATCCAAAGCACCATGGTGCCCGGGGTCAAATCCAGGATCTGAACCTGGCTCGGCTGATTCCAAAGCTTGTACTTGTCATATGTATACCCTGAGCAGAATTCAGACTCAGACCAAAATAACAAGATACCACCTGCACCAGCAACTCCTCACATCTCTTTAGTGCTGGAGGAGAGCACTAAAGCAATTTGTAATCCCTGCTTCTCAGCGCAACAGCAAGCTTATCTCCAAGTGCCGCAGGGAACTCCTGGTGGCACAGAGAAGTCTGTGTTCAACTCCTGGGACCGCTAGATCTAACCGTCCACTTCTCCCCAACACAAGATTGCGAAAAGGGGTGTTATTAGATGGATAATTCGAATATGCTCTAATGAGTCACAGTCTTCAGCATTTTAAGTATAATTAGGAAACAAATGCNGTGATACAAAAGCTAATGAGTCACAGTCTTCAGCATTTTAAGTATAATTAGGAAACAAATGCCCTCCAATACATCCGTGTCTAGCACAGCGTGGCCCTCATGAAGTGTTAACGACAAGAGCTATCATAATTTTATTACTGATCGCTGCATGCTGATGGTCATATATTAGATAAAAACCACTCCTCTCAATGTTTTCAGGCCTCAACATTCCTTCTTCCTATGATGATACCCTTTCAGAGTAAAGCTAATTGCATCAAACGGAACAGAAAATGACCACTCCAACTTGGCAGATGCTGCTGGAATTTTAGAAATGAATTTTTATACAGCTCAGGAACTTTCTATAGAGACAAATTATCTACTGCACCACACGGGTTCAGAGTATTCCACTTCTTGGACTCAGAGGTGGGTTATATTTCCCGGCCCCTTCACATCTTCAATGGGTATTTTACTAGTCAGCTCGGCTACTATAACACAATACCACTGGGAGGCTTAGACAACAGACGTATTTTCTCACAGCTCTGGAGGCTAGAAGTCCAAGATCAATGTGCCAAATGATTTGGTTTTTCATGAGGACTCTCTTCCTGACTTACAGACAGACGCTTTTCTCTGTGTCCTCACATGGCAGAAAGGAAGAGAGTTTTGGTGTCTCTGTCTCTTCAATAAGGAACACGACCTATGACCTCATTAACAATATCGCCTCTTTATAGGCCCTGTCTGCAAGTATCGCCACAGTGGGCATTCGTGCTTTGCTGCAGACTGATCTGTGTGCCCCCCAAATTCATATGTTGAAACCCATTCCTTAACGTGATGATATTTGGAGGTGGCCTTTGGGTGGTGATTAGGTCATGAGCGTTATGGCCACAGGAATGGGATCAGTGCCCTGATAAAAGAGGCCCTCACTCGTTCTGCCCTGTGAGGACACAGCAAGAAGAAGGATGTCTCTGAACCAAGAGGCGAACTCTCAGCAGACCCCAGATCTGCTGGAGCCTTGACCTTGTGCTTCCGAGCCTCCAGACCTGGGAGAAACAAATTTCCCTCGTTTATAAGCCGCCCAGTCTACGGTGTCTGTTACAACAGCTCAAATGGGCTAAGACAGACTTCACCATATGAACTCTGGGAGGGCACATTCAGATCCTGGCAGGCAGGCCCTGCGACTGAGCCCCAGCCCGTGCGAAGGGGGAGGCAGAGTGACTGCCACTTTCAGGTGCGGCACAGAAAGCGGTCCTGGCACACTGCATGCTCTTCCCTCCTGCCCAGGACCTCAACCTGAATGACCTTGAAAGCTACATGTTGAAGATGTAAAGCTACCATCTTGCTTGAGTTTTTGAATGCACACAGTAGGTCTCCTCCACCAATCTGGAGCTATCCTGAGCAAGAAATAAACTTCTATTGTGTTTGATCATGACATTTTGGGTCTGTGTGTTACAGCAGCTGCCTAACCTCACCAACGCAGATAGACCCTCCTGTCCTGACAGAGTCCTGCCTGATGAGAACCCATCCTTCTTCCCTTTTGTATGAGAATCCAAAGAACAAATATCATCTGGCTACTGGCTGTCAGCTCCCTGGGGGGCTCAGAGGGTGAGAGCAGACTCACTATCCACTAGAGCCTCTAAAAGGCCCTGTACCTGGGTCAATGATATCAAGAACCTGATCAACACAACACCTGAGCAATAGCCAGCAATAAACTAAAGACAGGAAACATTGCCTTCTACATGTACTGATAATATCATTTAAAATCTATAAGGCCAGGCCCTGGCTGGGTAGCTCAGTTGGTTAGGGTGTCGTCCCCATACACCAAGGTTGCGGGTTTGATCCCCAGCCAGGGAACATACAAGAACCAACCAATGATGCATAATAAGTGGAACAACAAATCAGTGTCCACCCCTTCCCCTCTCTAATAAAAGAATCTAAAAGGCCAGGGTCCCATAAACACAGTGCTGTTCTCTGTCTCGTGTAGGGGTTGGCATAAGAAAGACCAGCAGATCTTGCACCAGTCTGTGCACTCTTTGGTAAATCAGTGGAGACGTAGTAGCAAACAGGTGCTGTCCCAGCCTCTGCGTTAATCCCTCTTCTGGTAACCACACTGGAAGTCTTCTTGGGGAGCCCCCTCTCGCTCTCAGTCCACGAGGTCTGGGTAGGGCTGACACCCACCCCAGAGATGAGACACCACCCAGATCCAAGCCATCCTCTTGGCCATGGCGTCGGTCCAGTGTTGAACAAATGAGCTGTCAGGCCAGTGTCACACAGGCCAGGACTTTTGTGAGGCAGTTGGAAGAACAGAAACCTTTTTTCCCCTCTGGATGGGAACCAAGGAGCATGTAAGCCGGGAGCTGCTGGGGTGCGCAAACTGGAGTGTCCGTCAAAGGATGGAGCCAACACAGAAAAGCTGAGCAGAGGGAGGGAGACTGGACCCTAATTGCAGGGTTGAGGGCCCGCAGCTAGCAACCCCTGAACTTTTCAACACGTGAGCCCCAAATTCCCTTTATAACTTTAGCCAATCTGTTTGGGCTTCTATCCTTTACAACCAAAAAGATTTTGACTCAGATATAAATACACATCAGTAAAACCAAGGTACAATATTGGGCTTTTTGAATGACAGACTCAGACCTGGACAGCAGAAGTCTGCATGGCAGTGATTCTGTGAATGTATGCAGGTGACGGTGAGAGGTTCTGTGACCTCAGGGAGTGGGGCCCACGGGGGAGCATCTCCCAGAAGCTNGCATCAGTAAAACCAAGGTACAATATTGGGCTTTTTGAATGACAGACTCCTCAGACCTGGACAGCAGAAGTCTGCATGGCAGTGATTCTGTGAATGTATGCAGGTGACGGTGAGAGGTTCTGTGACCTCAGGGAGTGGGGCCCACGGGGGAGCATCTCCCAGAAGCTGCCTGCAAGAAAGCGAGGCTGAAGGGTCAGAGATGGACTGCCTGCGGACACTTCCCGCCCCCTCCTCCAAGCCCCACGCAGTTTTCTTACTACCGTTCACCANAAAGGCTGAAGGATCAGAGATGGACTGCCTGCGGACACTTCCCGCCCCCTCCTCCAAGCCCCATGCAGTTTTCTTACTACTGTTCACCATCCAGCCTGAACCTGAATTCCCTGCTACCCTCATTTTCGGGCAGAAACAACTTGAACTAAAAGTTCATCATTGCCTCATCATTGTTGGGAGGTGCAGATTCTGCCTACTTTTGCATTNCGCAGTTTTCTTACTACCGTTCACCATCCAGCCTGAACTTGAATTCCCTGCTACCCTCATTTTCGGGCAGAAACAACTTGAACTAAAAGTTCATCATTGCCTCATCATTGTTGGGAGGTGCAAATTCTGCCTACTTTTGCATTCTCCTGTTTGTGCCAAATACCGTTGCTATTTGTCCTCACACAGCAACAGTACCTGGTATTGGTGTCCCGGTTCACATCCACCTGGAACTGAATCAGACGGTCTTTGAGATTTTGGGCTCGCTCACAGAGGTCATAATTCAGGGTCATGGTGTCCAGGCAGAACATGGCCAAAGGCACGGAAATGTGCATGGATGCAATTTCATTTCTCAGCTTTTTTATGCCATTGATCTCCTGTAAAAAGAAGCATATTCAGTAGCTTAACTTGCCTTTAGCCTCAGCCTGGCAACATAGTCCGACGCTGAGCACAGTCTATATACCAAGGAGGCCCACTGACTTCCCATTGGATTGTCTGCCGCCCATGTCACCAAGATATGAAATGTCAAGTGCCATCTCCTACCGTCACAAAATCCTCAATTTCATGATTTTCTTTCAGGAACGCAGTGATGTTTTGCTCTGCCATGTTATCCAATAAGTCATCATACTTTTTGTAGACATTTAAGTATCTTCCATATTAAAGAGCATAAAATGAAACATACAAACACAGGCCACAGATCGGATTAGTCAGAGTGGCAAATGCATGGAAATACAACATAAAAATCAGACCAAACCAAGACAGAGAAATACAAGGTGACAAAAGATACACTGAACTGGAAATTCAGAACTTTGGCTGAAAATCCCAATTTTGTTACTTCCTAAGGCAAGATATTGTAGTTTAAAGCTCTCTAAAGAACAGAGCTAGAACAATAGGGGTGAACTATTTTGTAGCTTTTTCAAAGATCAGTGTCTTTAATAAGTGGAAATAGTAACACCTGATAGCGTAACTGTAACAAGGTTTACACGAAGCACTTAATGCTGAGCGTGACAGACAGAGATGTGCGATAGACATCACTCCCTATCCCTCCTTCCGGCTCTAAAGCTCTATGTCTAAATTTTAAGATGAAAATTTGGAACTAATGAACCTAAAATCAATTGAATAAAATTAAGTTTCCCTCTGCCTGTTAACAGATCGTGTAGGAATGGCTGGACAGATTTCCCTCAAATTGGAGGATGTGTTTGGGGTGCTCTGACATAAAACAAGTTTAACTGAAAATAAAGATCATAGGGAGTACACAGAACTAACTGTGTGGGGCCCAGTGGGACGCTTCCAAGAGCTGACCACCACTTCAGAGGCTCGGACCGAGACAAGGAGGAGCCATGGGACTGGAAGGCCAGAGAGCACACTGTGCGCAGGAGATTCCCAGGGAAAACGGGGTTCAGGCCGATGCACCAGATCGCGTCCAGGAGGCAGGAGCTTCCGACCCTGAGTCCATGGTTCTCAGACTAGGTTGGCAGTAGTTCTCAGCAGGGGCTGACTTTGCTCCCAGGGGACATTTGGCCATGTCTGGGGACAATTTTTTGTCGTCACAAAAATTGGTGGAGAATCCTACTGGCATCTAGTGGGTAGAGGCCGGGGACACTGCTAAAAATCCTACCGCACACAGGATGCCCCGCAGTGCGGAATCTCCTGTTCTGAAATATCAGCGGAGCTGCAGCCAGGAAGCCCCAGGTTAGGGTGATCACACGTCCTGGTTACCCCTGTTGTCCCAGGGTAGCTGTTAATCACATTCTCTTCATTTTCAAAGAGTCTCAGCTTAGAAGCTGCAGGTTGCATCCTGTGGTCACCCTAAACTCGTGCTTGTCCACATGAGCAAACCCCACATGTCCACAGTGTCACCACTAAGGAGCATTCAGATAACGTGTTCTCAATCCCTAAGTTCAGAAAGCTCTGAAAACAGAAAGTTGCTTTAAAATTCATTTGATAGCAAAAGCTGCCCTAGACTGATGTGAGGCTATTAGTGTGAATATCCGTAGTTCTCACTGCAGAAATGAGTCTGTTTAATTAAACGAAGGGGTGCTGCACAATATGTGACACAAGCCCATGTTACCTTCCCAAAATCCAGAAATGTCTAAATGCCAAAACCTGTGTGACTGCACAGGTTTCAGGTAACAGAAGTGGACCTGTAACTGCACTTGAATCCTGGCTCCCCTGTTTATTTTCTGGGCCACATCGGGAAACACGGTTTCCTCGTGTAAAATGGGGATAAACAGTAATACCCATGCAAGTAAGTATCGGCTATTATCCTGTATTGTTTCAGGTGTGTGGGAACAGAGACGGTTCTCTTGAAGAGAGCTAAGAGCTCTAAACCAATGCCCGAAAGGCCAAGTTACCTCTAAGCCAACTTACTTGTGGGGGCCAACTTGGTTTTTCTGAAACACCTTGAAAGTCTGATCCACGAAATTAGAAACCAGTTCTTCCTCAGGGTTAACGGTTCCAAGAATCAGATTATACCCCTTTAACTCTGGGAACAGGACCTGTTCCACCTAAAGGGTAGAAACCATCAGCCGTCAGAAGGGAGATGGCACCAAAATGCCCAGTCCTGCAATGGGCTGGCTTCCAGGGGCCCAGCTCCTCCCTGCTCCATTTGCTCTTGAACAGGCCGGGCTCACTCCTCTCTCTCTCGTGGGTTATTCATTGTTCAAGTCCTTGCTCCTTTCAAGCCTCATGTCCTTGGAGAGGCCCCGGGCTCCAGGCGGATACTAGGTGTCCCTGCTTAAAGCTCACGTTCTGAACTTTCTCGTCACAACTGTCACTAAATGAGGGTGTAATGAGCTGTCCTCGGTTTCCAGGGGATAGAAATATCACAAGGGCCTGGATCATATCGGAGTTCTGCACTACTGTGAAGGGCCCAACAAGAGCTTGGCACATAGTAAGTGCTGAATAAATACTGTGAGTGAATGGATATTACAGTGGTGCCCTGCCCCCCCATCAATCTCTCTGTAATGAAAAGCTCCTAGAGACACAGGTTCTAGCCCTGACTCTGCCGCTAACTGACTCTGTGACCTTAGGCAAGCCACTTCTCTCTGGACGTCTGTTTTTTCATCTGAAGGAAAGGAGAGATATACTAGATTCTTCTCTCAGCTCAGGGGGGAAAGCTATGGTTTGATGATCATGAGGCATAAACAATATCGTTCTGAAAATTCAAATGCTCCAACTTCTCACTGGCATGTGTAGGTCTCTGAGAAATGTGCTCATTTGCATGACTTGAGCAGGCTGTGAAGTCCCTGTTGGGGACCCACTGCCCCCTGGCTAAGGAAGTTTTTAGTGATCGGTGTCAGAGAGACCTTCAGAGAGCTCCCCTGGGTTATTCTGGTTATGTGCTGTCAAGGGGGGCCTACCGATTTAGAAAGAGGAAAAGCAAGTGCAAGTGATCTGAGCCCCGCTCTGGGTCAATCTAGAGGTTTTTTTAAAGGCTTTGTTTTTTTTTAAAATATGTCTTTTTGATTTCAGAGAAAGGAAGGAAGAAGGGAGAGAGAGAGAAGCGTCAGTGATGAGTCATTGATCAGCTGCCTCCTGCATGGCCCCCTGCTGGGGATCAAGCTCGAAACCTGGGCACTTGCCCTGACCGGGAATCGAACTGTGACCTCCTGATTCATGGGTCAATGCTCAACCACTGAGCCACGCCAGCCGGGCCCCTGTAATATATTTCCCATTTCAGTTAGCATAGTCTTCATTTCTGACTGGTCTGCTTTTCTGTTTGTGTCTCTCTGTTGAAGTTCTTACTAGATCCATCTGCTCCTCCCCTAAGTTCATCGAGCATCCTTATAGCCAGTGTCTTGAACTCTGCGTTGAGTAGATTGTCTTCATTTTGTTCAGTTCTTCTTCTGGAGTTTTGTTCTGTGCTTTCATTTGGGACACGTATCTTTGTCTCCTCACTTTGGCCACCTCCCTGTGCTTGTTTCTATGCGTTATGCAGAGCTGCACTGTCTCCCGGACTTGGCGAGTGGCCTTCTATAGTAGGTGTTTTGTAGGGTGCAGTGGCACAGCGTCCCTGACCACCCAGTTGGGCACTCCAGGTGTGCCCCTCCATGTGGGCTGTGCACAGCCTCCGGTTGTAGTTGAACCTTGATTGCTGTTGGCACTTCAATGGGAGAGACTGGCTGCAAGGACCGGCTGTGACCACTGTGGAGGGGCAGACCCCATGGAGCAGGACTTACTTCAGCGCGTGGCTCTGGTGCCTGCTGAGTCCGTCGGTGCGTTGCTTGTGGAGGTGGTTGGGTGGTGCTTTGATGTGGTCTGGAGCTGTCCCCTGGGTGCACTGGCTCTGGAACCTCCTGGGAGGTACAGGCCAAGGTCAGCCACCACCTGTGCCTTCCCTGGGGCCAGCCAGCACAAGCTGCAGAGCGAGCCGCAGATGGCTGCTACTTGTGCTGGGCTTAGAGGCGCCCAAGAGAGGCCACGCTGGGAACCAAGGCTGACTACTGCTAGTGCTGGGCCTGAGGCCACTTAGTGAGAGGTATGGGGCACACGGAGGCCAGATGCTGCTTAAGAGATTTTAGGAAAGTCCAGAGAATGAGCCACGGTAGGACATTTGTATGGGAAAGCCACTGGTATCGGCTTGGGATGGGGCCCTCAAGTTGGGTGGGACAGGATCTCAACAAATCACCAGGGCGGGGCTAACAGTGTTAGCGGGGTTGACGGGGACTCAGATACGGCACCCACCTGCCGTCTCTGTGGGGTGGGGGTAGGGTCTCAGCAAAGGAATAGTGGCCTCTGTCAGCACTTTTGTCTGGGAGAAAGCTGCCCCTCCTGCTCTCGCCCTGATGCCATACTACTTAGTTCCTCCCGTATGTCCCCGGTGCCTTTCGAGCTGTTGCCCCAGCGTTGGAGCTCAGAGGGAGCAAGTCTAAATCAGTCTGTGGGTGGGGCCTTTAAGAGGAACTGCCTGGGACTCCAGCAGCCTCTGTCTCCTCAGCCTCAATCCCCGCTGGTTTTTACAGCAGGAAGGTACAGGGACTTCTTCCTGGCACTGGAGCCCTGGGCTGGGTGACCTGGTGTGGGGCTGGGACCCCTTGCTTCTCAGGGGGGTCCTCCACAGCCAGGACACCCCTCCCAATTTTTATGCTCCACATGGGTGTGGAACCAGCCTGTTCCAAGTCTCCGCCCCTACCACCAGTCACAGAGTCGCTTCTTTATATCCTTAGTTATAGGACTTTGTTCAGCTGGATTCCAGGCAGTTCTGGATGCTAGTTGTTCTGTAGTCTAGTTGTAATTCTGATGTGGTTGTGGGAGGATTCAAGTGCTGCATTTACCTACACCACCATCTTGACCAGACCCCCTTAATTTTATTTTTTATTAAGATGGGTATTTTCTAAAATATGCTTTGGTTTCCTTTGGTAAGTTTCTCACAAATATGATTTCCTTCTTCACCTTGAGAGCTATTATCAAACATCTCATGCTTACTTTTTCCAACTTCTAAAATTCATGTTTAACCATAAGTAAGACGAGACTGGTAGGGACTGGAGGTACTGTCTACCTATTGCTGTTCTTAGATATTTTTCTTAGATATTCAACCTGAAGAACTATTCTTTTAAATTTTTGCTACCCAGTTCAGAGACAGAACAGTCTGAGCAGTCTGGGCAGGAGCCAGAGTTGTGTGTGTCTCCAGATGGAGAACTCTGGGCCTGTGCTGCTTTTCCTCACAGCTGGACAAAGTCACTGGCATTCAGTTGGGCCTAGCTTTCAAACCTCGTGCAAACTGTGACCTGTGACTATGTCCTCTTGGCATTACACTCCACAGAATCTGCTACTGGCTCCTGCTGGGCTGTTTGCAGTAGCAGCCACACGAGCCCTAGACGCTCCCGGCCCAGATGCCTCAAGCACTGCTGCTCAACAGCAGTGAGGGAGAGCTCAGGCCGTGTGCATCTTATCTGTCTCCAAGCCCCGCACTCATCCTTCCAAAGTACAGGGTCAGCTCTTTCATTTCCTTCCTCGGGATATTGATTGTTGAAGTACTGCCCACTGTTTCTCCCTACTCCACACACCCAGTTTTATTGTTAACCAGGCTTGGTTGGGTCCAAAATCCCAAATTTGGAGTGAAAGTAACTGAAGCATTGGTTTCACATGCTTCCCTACAAACCCAACTCAAATCTTGAGCTCTTAGAACCAGCCATCTCAGTAAAGAACTGCAGAGAGAAGAGCTTAATAGCATCCAAGCATCATATACAATGTGTGGTCAGGAGAGGAGAAGAGGAGCACCCACAGATTCCTTCCCTATGTGGGCCTAGACACTAGCCCCCTTGCCACACCAACCACCCAGAGGCCCAGAGGGAAACAGAAGATGGTACACAAAAGAGTTCCACTCATGTGGGTAATTGGGCACAGCCCTAAGACTCTAACCACAGTCTGGATCTGATCAGTAATGCCACCCTGGAAAGGAAGCTGGAAAGGGCTTGGGCCAGGAGGGGAGGCTTCACTCTCTTCCCTAGACACCTACAGTGGCTAAACAAACAAATATATGGAACTTCAAGGGCTAAATTAGATATAATTTTATGAAGACCCTTGGCAAGTTCACAGCAACTGCTCCATCGTGAATTATCATCAACCCAGTTGGATACAGCTTGGGACACATCAGCCCCTTGGAGGTTGGCATCCTGGGGGGAACTCTGCTCTCCTGCAAAATAACTCTTAATGCCCTTGTTAGAGCACAGTTCTGGGATGCGTGGGCATTTCTTTATGGTCCAAATCCTCTTTTTGGGGTCAAGAGGATAACTCAGCATAGATCTCTCAAAGTGAAACTTCCCTGACTGAATAGCTTGTATAAATAGTCATTTTAAATATATTTTAGGCAATAAACCAAAAAAAAAGTACAAATGTATGAATAAGTGCATACTTTACCTTGGGGATACCCTTAGAGTTTTCAATAATTTCCAAGAAAGAGTTGCGTAATAACGCCCAGCAGTCATCAAAAGATGGGTTGAAGACAATAATGGGCTCGCTGACTTCAAGTTTGATCATGAGTAGCTGAGGGATAAAGAACTCCATCTCTTGGTAGGGCTCTTCAAAGTCATTCCCATCCTTCATGAGACACAAGATATGGCAACTGTCACAAAATGGGGCCTTCTAGAACCAAGGGAGTGGGGTGTACCATTCCTAATACTGCGAGCATCGGAAGAGGGCGTGAAGGGGATCATGCACCACTCACGCTTAAAATGCGGGCTGGGGCGGCTTGGTCCACCCAGAGCCCTTCCTCTTCCCCAAAGATTTCACTCAGTGTGTTCGCTTTGCTTGGAAATTCCTGCATCAGTGTTTCCAAATCCTTCTCATCCCTCAACATTCATCTCAAAACCCCCTCCCTTTGAAGTCTCCCTGTTCCCCCAGCAAGATACAATCTCTGCTGCTGAACTTCCAACTTCCCACTTCCTCAGGGTATTTCATCTTTCTTTCTTGTAGAGATTTAGATGTACATCTTATCTTTTCTAGTCTACTCTAAACCCGAGGACAGGACCTGTGTCTGAACCATCTATCTCTTCCAAAATATCCAAGACTGCGTTTTACATATAGCAGGTGCCCAATAAAAATTTGCTGACTGAATCCACATATAATTAGTTATCTGCATACCTCAAATGGAGTTGCTAATGAGCCTGTGGTCTATTTTAGACACTCAAAATGTCAAGCTTCCCTACAACAAAAACACTGGTGTGGAGATATAATTCTCTGCACAGGCTAGTAATGCAGGATGCCTTTCATAAATGACAGGGCCTCATGAGACTGCCCTAGGGCAGCTGTGAAGTACTTGTCTGACTAATTGCTTTTAGGCATTTCTAGATCAGTTTAAGGATGATTGATGAATATTTGTTGAGCACCTACTATGTATCAAATACCCATAAATTTCCACTTCCTTCAGACATATGAAGATTTTATTTTGCCCTGTGTGTGGAATTTTAGAGGGAGATTTGTTTGCACATCTGAGTCTCTTCTGCTTAGTAGAGTAGAAGGTTACAGTGACCCCTATAGACTGGCCCTCATTAGAGTGCTAACACTGCAGTCTGAATTCAACAGCACTTCTTTCTGTATTTTTTGAGCAAAAGGTCAAGTGTTCATCTTTATCTCATTTAGGAAAATGCTTAGAACTTAACCTTTTATAACCAGGCAGTTTTAACTTTATATTACTCTTTTTAAAGTAAGGTGTCCACATGACATAAAATCCAAAAGGATCGCCCTTGATCCCCAGGCTCCCTAAGTTTAGGGGATACCATGTTGCTCTGAAAACCAGGACTGACTTATGTTTTTGGTTTTTATTTATACTTCACCAAAGTAGTTTCATGAAGGAAATTATTAATTAGGTCAACAACACCTTTTGTTTCTAGGGATGCCCCTTTCAAAGACCAAAGAACGAAAGTCAGTATCTGCAACGATACATACAACACTCCCTAAACTTCAAGCTAAAGGTCGGTGACAAGCCTTTTTCAACTCTGTCCTTTACAGAGATAAAACAAAAGTGACCACACTCCCTACTATATAATGTACGTATGCATTCCATTAAAATCTTTTAAAGAAAAATTAAAGATTTTTCTTAACAACGTTTCCATTTCTGTAGATTTTTTTACCAATTTAATAGCAGGTAATTATCTTAGGAAAGCTTGCTTATATATTCACATTCACATTAGTTTATAAACTAATAATGACCTGACATGTGTGGGAATCAAGAATTTTATTTTTTGTGCTGGCTCATAGCTGATGGAATCCTGATTCTATCTCTGTCATTTCCCCTCAAAAGGGCTTCTTTATGGCCCCCTACATACCTTGTATATCATGAAAAAGGAAACGAGGTCCTCAAAAGACTTAATGACCAACTCTCTGAGCTGGAGTGACATGAATGACGCAATAGAAGCAAAATACTCCTCAATGTTACGAGAGGAGTCGTAGTCGCTCTTGGGAGCAAACTGGACCCACTGCTCCTTCCGGGAGACAAAAAGCTGAGCACAGGTGGGGATCCACCTGCAAAGACAGGGGGGCATCTGAGTAAGAAGCTCTTCGAATTGGTACTTGCACACACCTGGCCCCCCACCTGCCAACAACCCCTCCCTGAGAAGAAAGTAGTAATATCCAAATTAACAGATTTTTCTTGCATTAACAATACCCAGATGGACAGGGGACACTAGTGACACATTCTGCTGAAAGAGGCTGTAGTTCTTCCGTTATAATCAGAGATTGGGGTGAAGGGGCCTAAGGAACTGAAATGCTTTGTGCAACTTCTCTCCCTGGCAGATGCTGTGTCTCGGACTCAGATTTTACAGGGGAAACGGAGGAGGGGGAGAAAGAAAGGAAACGTGGGAGGAGAAACTTGTGTGGCAGTGGCTGTTCAGAAGTTGAGAGGAGAAACTAGAAAACCAAAAGAAATGGGTGCCTCTTGGCCCTTTCTTCCTGCTTCCCCCAGTTTTAATTCCCAACTCCCGGTGGGGACCACCGGCCTTTCCGTCACCTCTCTCTCCTGTTCCGGCAGCCCGGGAGAGCCGGTGCACGTGCACACGCGAACACATCCTCCGATAATAAACACCCGGTGGCGGTCATTTCTCACTTGGGGACTTCTCTGGGCATAGCCCCGCATGCATTTGCAAAGACAGAGGAACTGTCTGAGCGACGGAAAACCCCCTGACCTTGGACCCCGGCATCTGCTTATCTAGGCCAGCGGAACACAAGTCACCCAAGGGCACCGTCCTGTGACCCAGCCGGGCCTGAGGGTTTCAGAGGAGGGGACGGACGTGGTACCCTCACGAGGACGGTCATGAGAGACTAGGAGCGGGGCTGAAGAGCAGGGGATGTAAGGGGACACGAAGGCTGGGGGGGCTTCTGAAAGGAACAGGACAGAGAGGGATGCCAGCGGGAAGCCAGCAGGCTGGGCAGCCCCGGCTGGAGCCGCTTTCTGCCAGAGGGTCCCCGCGGTGAGGAGCCTGTGCGGGGGGGCCCCCCCCCCCC